CTGTGTCATTCTAGCCCAGCTCAGTGCCTCTTTGAAGAGGTCGCCAGCACATAACTAATTCTTCAAACAATAATAACTACTGACGTGCTCCAAGGCAAGCAACCAGTTATAAACACTTGCAAGATGCTGCCTCATAGAGCATCATAAAACCTAATCTTTGCTTTTCAAAAAGCAAAGATTCTTCTAGCATCAGAGAACAGAGCAGGGGAAAGGTTTGGCATCTGGAAAGGCATTGGATGTTAGTCTGAGGAGCCATAGTTGCAAGTGACTTATTTCCTTCTTGAAGTGAAGCTTACCAAACCCTCCAGTCTACAGAGCAGAATCAGCAGGAGAAAAGCATCTCCATTTTTGAGTTCCTACCACGCCAAGTGCAGGAGGGCACTGTACAGTGTCTATCCCTTGCTCTTCTTCTTCTTGTACAAATATCAGTCTTGAAGCACACTGAGACTATGATGGCGTCAGTTTCTGTGTTAGCAACTCCCAAATTCTTTCTTTGTGGAGTTCTGTGGAACAGGCCATAAAAATGAAAGTTTCCATTCCCTACTGATATTAGAATATATAGGACTGGTTGGATATCAGGAAAAATTTCTTCTCGGGAAGAGCAGTCAGACACTGGCACAGGCTGCCAGGGGGCTGATGGAGTCACCTGGAGGTGTTCAAGAAACATGGAGATGTGGCACTGAGGGAGGAACATGGATGGGGGCATGGCCAGGGGAGGTGGGGGTTGGGTAGTTGGACTAGATGATCTTATACATCTTTTCAGTCCTCCGTGATTCTATGACAAAATAAGCAAAGGCAAACCAGCCACGTTGCAGCTAAGGAAAGCTCATTTTATGTACCCATCACCAATACACAAAGTGCAAATCTTTGCTTTCCCCAGATGCCACCACCTAATGTTTTGTCAGTAAAAATAAAAATGCCAACTCTCCTCCCCATGCACAAAAAGAACTTTTTTGTTACTTACAGTTCATTGATTTTTCTGTTGTTCAGGTATGACGGAATCTGCAAGACCTCACCTCTAACCACCTGCATATGCTTTTATGTCACAGAGCATTTTAAAGCAGTAGAATGTCAAAGTAAACAAGATACACAGGTGACTGTGATGTGTTTCCCCAAAGGCAGAAAAGCATTGCCAGCCTCTCTTGCATTTTCCATTTGCTCTGAAGAAAAATCAGAATCGATGCTTTCTAACTTATGATTAGTATTGATTCCTTTTGGAAAACCTAGGGCGTGTGTATCTCTATATATGTTTCTATGCAATGAGGAGAAGCAGATCCTCTTCTGGATGCCAAGGGCTTGAGGACCAGCTTGCTGGTAGGGTCCCACCGAGGGCTCCTGCAGATGAGCCCCTGCCATCGCTTGGAAGACAGAGAAGTAGCAGCAGAGTGCCAGCCACAGCCTTTCCCTACTTCTGCTACAGTCATCCTCACAGAGGAGCCTGGGCAAGGCCTCCTTGGTGAACCATCCATGGCTCAGGGCCCTGCTGAGCAGTGGGGCTGCCGCCAGGTATGTGCCAGGTGGGCTCCAGGTGGGCTCCAGGTGGGCTCCAGGACAGCCACGTGCACCCATGCCATGGAAATCCCAGGGTCATTTCTTGTTCTGACATCCTCATTAGCTTCCCCACCTTGGCCAGGCCCCAGGCTGAGCAAGCATCGTCCTTCCACACACAGATTTCTCTCTCATTCCAACCACAGACGCCACTTTCAATTTCTTTCCTGCAAACTGCTTTTTTTTTTTTTTTCTTTTGCTTTTTTTAATTAATAGGAAAACAGCTGCCACTTTTCACCCGAGAGGTGGCCGTATTTTGATGCCGGATTAATACCTCTGTTCTACACACTTGCCAAAAAAAGTGGAAACCCTACCTTAAGGCAAAGGAATCTGCTTACAGTTGAGGAAATGATAAATTTTGCAGCCCACTTCTAGAGAGATGTTGAAGGTTTGTTCACAGCAGAAGAGTACAATGCAGACAATATTTACAATTACAACAGATCATACGGTTACAAGTCATAAATAAATTTACAATTGCAATAAACCACAGTTTATTAAACGTGTTACCTATAAAATATTCCCAGTACAGAGTGAATTATGTTTCAACTGGAAAGATTTATAATACAGTTTGGTGGCTCAGTCTATTTAAGAGGCAATCTAAGAAAGCGGTGACTGCACATCCATTGCCTATAATTTCAAAGACATTAAGATTTCCCTGGCTTCCTAGAAGTAATTATTTGAGTTACAAACCTTATCTGGAGACTGTGCTTGGGAGATCACATAGAAACATACTTCAGTTAATGATCCAAACCAACCCTTTTTGCTTTGGAACCTGACCCCATACTGTAAATTCTCTCTCTGCTGCGCACTGCATTACTTACAGCATATGAATAATGGATACCATAAACAAGCACCACAAAATGAAAATTCCATTAACAATATTGTGGAGCTTCCATTCACAAAATGCAGTTCTTGAGTGAAACACATTTTATTGCTCTTACCACCAAGGAAAATATTTGCATACCTCATCACAGAGTTCTTACAAAAACCCGTTTTGCTTTTCTTATCTCAGGGCTTTTATGGTAGGAAACATTGCATTAGGCCCAGTAATTTACATTTTGCTGATAAAAGGCTAAATACATATGCAGCAGCTCTTTATTGACTGGCTTCATGTTATAAATTATGAGCTTGGGAGTAAATATATGAGGACAAATATTGATTTCTAAGCAGTCACCATGAATGAGATCTTATCCTGGTGTTGAGTTATGGCACCTCTTGTCTTTTATAGCTCTATCTTATTTCCTAGCTACTAATACTTTGTGGCAAGTACAGAAATGAATGACACCACCTCACTTCTGACAGTTTAATTCATTCATGGCAGAAACAGCAAGTACAGGAGTCAGTACAAGGATGCTCTACATGGACAAACATTTTGGGATCTGCAGTTATCATAAAATGCTTTCAGCGTGTTGCACTGAGAGTTGCAAGCTTTACTGGGGAAGCAGCAGATGAATTGCCATGCCTTTTGGAAAAGATAAGCAAAAGCAGCAGCAGTACTGCCCTGGGATGTCATGGAACAAGCAGCACTTATCATACTTTTAACAATTCTCTTCCATGGCTGCTCAGCAATTTTTGTTTTAATGGAAAATCTCCGCCTTTCCTACCCCAGCACTGCAGCTGCACCTGATGATGTTTCACTGTTCAGGCGATTGCCCACAAATCGCAGCCACAGCTCTGGTCTCTGTTAACTATAGACGGTTTTACTTTAGAGAAGAGCCTTACTGCCATTCTATGGAGCTCAGTGGACTCGTTTCACAATGAAATTTGCTTCTCGGTGGAGCTGTACAAGTATATGGGTTAGCAGAGTTTAAACTGTCTAACCTGTTTTCATCAGAAGTTTGGCCTGCTTTGGAATACACTCGCAGTCACCTTGAATAAGTAAACGTGGAGATTCGGTAAAAAATACACCTATGTATGTATTTGAACAGTGGTAACTGACACCCATGAGGTCACACTGACATTTGGAGCAAAGTAAATACTGCCCAAAAGTATCCACTAGGTGATTAGACACAGTGTTTGTTAGGGAACAGGAGCAAGGCGCCGTCTGTAATAAATCAAACAGAGATCTCCAACTGCAGCTGTGACTGGATCCCTTCTGTATTCCCATCACCGCTTTTGCTTTGGCAGAGACACTGAGACCTCTGACAAAACACCTCCAGCCAATCCAGAATGGAAATATCACTGCTGCAACCTGTGGATGGGATGTAGCAGCTGGAGAACTGTGTGAGTACAGCAAAACCCACGACCAAAACCTGCTTCCTCCCACCAGTAACTTACCTGTATGCCTTTTCAGCAAGTCTAATCCAGTCCTTGCCTTAAAGGACAAATTCAAAGAGGAGCTTTGCATGTTTCAGTCATGTTTCTAGGTTTATTTTCAAGGTTTCTTTTTTTGTTTTTTTTTTTTTTGTTGTTTTTTAATTTTTAAGCCCATTTTTCATCACGGTGAGCTTGAGGAAATGCAATGAAGAAGACAGTGTATCCTGCATCTGCTAGAGCAAGATAACCTCTTACCAATGAGATAGAGGCAATCCTTGCTTTTCATGGGGTAGTTCTCATGTGTTTGTCCCTTTAAAACAACGAAACACTGCTTTTCCTTCACCTCCAGTGAGGACACAGCTGGCTTTACATTTATTTAATTCCAGCACTTCCAAGCAATGTAACCTCATCTCTAGGGTCTGAGACTGCCATGGAGAGCCTGGCAGCCTCTGCACAGGGCTGCCCCAGTGCCAGGAGAATGGAGAACACCTAAAATACAGAAGAAAATGCCATGAAATGAAAGTCTGCATTTCTCTGTAGGCAGCTCAGTAGATGTTAATTGCTAGATGCCAGCGTTCTTTCAGGAACAGGGATCTGGTTCCCTCAATAAATAATTTACTAATTTCAGATACGCTCTGCTTATTTAAGGCCATTTCTCTCACAAGACCTTACTGATTATTTAGTAGCTCTAGGCTAATTGCCCTTTCAGAAGTATATCTAATATTCTTTTTTATAGCACAATATAAAGTGGTCACAAGCCCAAATTTGACACAGCAACCAAAAGAAGCCCATTTGTTGCGGTCCAATACTTAAAAGAAAAAAAGCAGTCAAAGCAGTATTTTTGCAGGGTGTTTCCTGAGAGTGGGCAAGAAGTGAAACTACAAAAAAAGGTTACAGGCTGCAACCCACAACCTGGTAGCTACAGAAGATAGGCTTAAGAAAGGCAGAGAGCCCTGGGGGGACGCACAGCAATGAGACCAATGGCAGGGGGGGAGTCTCCTCCCGATGAGGACGACCACAGTGCATCGAGTTGCCTGCTCGAGGTGGGTGGAAGAAAAACCCTTGGATATGATGTACGGCTGAACTCAGTCTCTACTTGAACCAACAATATCTGTCAACTCAATCTGCTTTCTGGTAGTCAACAAGGCCCAAGGTGTTGTTTCAAATATTTATTAAAAAATAACTGCAAAGGGGAAAAAAATATCAATAAACAGTCCAAAGGGAAATTCATTACAGCCTTAACAGGTAAAGGGAACAAATCTACTTTATGAACAAACAATTGCAGTAGGAAGTATATTGAAAATTTCTTAATCAACTGATAAAGGAGAAACAGCATATGCAATATATATTCATATATAAATATACCAGTTACATTCCTCTTATATGGATTAAACAACATTTGTTACCAACATGCCAAAGTATTTCTTTGTGGCAGGAGATTCATCTTCCTTCATGACCACACTGTCTCTCTGGGAGTTCATGACTATTTCAGGACCTGGGGCCAGGCTCTATTCAACGCCACCACGCCAAATCCAGAGCAAGTGATGTCAACCCTGTTCCTAGGAGAGGTCAGCCCTATTTCTGAAGCACAAGGTCAGCTACACAACAGGTGGAACCAGCAGAGCACATGTTAAGCTGTTGGATCTCCTTGAAAGCTCAAATCTGATTAAAGCTAGATTCTCACAGGGAAGCAGACTCTGCTTAGGATTCCCGGTATAAGAAACACTTCCATTCTTCTGTAAACAAATGTTAACAAAATAAACTCTCTGTACCCTGTTAACCGTTTTTTAACATAAAAATAAGGAGCTGCTTGGGCAGTCTTAAAATAACTCAGTATAAAAATCTATCCTATCCTAAGTACTGTCTCTATATCAAAGTGCTAGCAAATGGCACAGTGTTTTCTGTTTGAAGCCACGTTCCCTGCTTTGTCTGCTGGGCACTGAGGACACCCACCCCCAGCAGGGCTTCACTCAGGAACCATCCGTGGTGGCAGAACCCTCCTGCTGGGACGGCGTGCTGCCCTGACGGGGTTGTGCCAGGGTGAGCTCCTGGTGCCGCCAAGGCGCTGCAGCCCATCGCAGCGCCCGTCCCCGTGCTGGGGGCACAGGGACCCACCTCACCCAGCCTGTCCCTGCAAGCCCTGTGCAGGATCTGCGCTCAGAACTACGCAGGAGGGAAGCAGAGGCCCCATCGCTTTGCATAGTTCACTTCAGCAGTAACCCTGTGAGTCTCCAGGAGATGCCTGTGGTGCTCCTCCTGCTCCTCGTCCTACGAGGCGCCAGCAGAGGATCCGTCACCTGCCTGCCGGGAGCTCTTTGGCTTACTCGGTTTGGTTCAGTGCTTGCTGGCTGTTACCTTGGAGCCTGAATAAGAAATAGTGCAAATCCAAGCTTAAAGAAAAAAACACCACGTGGCCTGCATTGAACATTCAGCTACAAAGACAACGAATCACAGAATGAAGCCCCAGTTGTGGGGGATTATGAGACGCTTGGCAAACCTGTAAAGTAAAAGTGAAATGACTGCCTTAGAGGAGTGCCTTGGGTCAGTACTGAGCAGTCGGATCATTTGCTGACGTGATTCTGTCTAACGCTGCTGGCCAACTGCACACAGGGCTGAGGACTGGTCACGGCACACAGACATTTCCCTGGGCGCCAGGAGAAACTCCCTGCAGCTCCGGGTGCCTCGGTGCTTTTCCTATCCAAGTTTGACTTGAAATGACTTTGTTTGCACAGAATGGCGTGAATTCATCCAGACTGGCTTTGCTGTAAAGCAATCAGACTGCATTATTTCTGAGGGTCAGTATACCTTTATTTGGCCATGCACAGGCAGATTAAGAGGCCAAAACAGAACTCAGCTTGATTCCTATTATGGGATGCTGGCTGCAGTGCATTTTAAAACAATAATTATCTGAAGCTGTGAAGATGTTCGAGTCTGAAAATGTTACAAAGTGCCAGGGCACCCTGCAAACACAGACACTCACTCACACTGCAGCAGACCTCACTGAAGCAATGCACTCTGTAGTGTTTCTTGGCCTGATCTACAAAGAGGCTTTGTTTCTTTAAACTCCTCTTCCCTCAAAGAATTCATCAGGAGGGATGTTCAGCAACGAGATGCTTTCAGCAAGTGGTGCACAAATGGCTTAAGTTTGCTAAAGATTAGGCACTTGGTTTGCCCAGGGTCTTCTGTAAATCCTACCTACCTCCATCTCTAGGCACCTGCCTGCTGCTATAAAGTCTGGCTCTCAGTGTTTCAAGGCTCAACCCTGGGAACCAGTCCTGCTTTGATCTACGGTCAGTGCCTTAACAAGGCTCTCCCTGGCCAGGAGCAGGCCTTCTCCCTCTCCGTGCTGCACCCATGGGGCTCAGACCTGCTCCCACCCATTGCACAGCTCCTGCTGTGCCACAGTACACGAACACCAGGACAGGTCTGCTAGCCTGAGGACACAGTTGCATCGGGGCAGTTCTATATTGATTTAATGTCTCAAAGCAGGATTCACTCATTTAAAACCACAGGGAGATAAATATGCAGTGAAGCAAAGGAAAAGCAAAGTCATTTAAAGGCAGCAACCAGCCTCCCTACACACACTCCATTAAAGAAACAGCCTTATCTCTGCCCCTGTGCTTGTTGCTAATGTGATGCTGGCCTCAGCATTCAGAACATCGATAAAGCAACAAAGACAACAGAGTTCAGGCTTTAACTGAAAACAGATGCATGAATATGCTTAACAAGTTTTCCCTTCTGAACTTCTGTGAATTAATCACTACTCTATGCGTGAATAAAATGGAAGAAAATACCCCACTTTTTTGCCCATCAAATTCATGCCATACAGTGGGCAAAAGCAGAGATGTTTGAAACCAACATTTTCTTACCCTTTTGCTTTCATACGCAAGTGTAAATATTACTGGAACCTTGTTTTCTTCTTTCATTAAAAGCCTGCACATGCATTGAATGGACAGGACTCCGCTACGTTAATCTTTTGTATGATGTTAATGCAGAAGGGACTTCTGAGAGATACTTGGAATGAATGCTGGCCATGACAGGATACTGCCTAAATTAGAAGCAAGCTCCTAGTATCTTCCTGCAATTACATTATGTCATGTGCTATACTCTTATTCATGGCCTGGAAGGAGAGTGCAAGGGTACTTAATATCTGTAGAGATTCAATTAAAACGAGCACATCTGACACTCAGCAGGTCTGGCTTCTGCTTGCCTCACATCTAGCCCAGCCTCGCTACTAAACTGTAATACAAAAGAAAAAGGAAAACGAGCACACGCAGTGGAAGCCAACGTGCTCATATGTCTGCCGGCTGGCAAATATTGTTACTAACCTAACTGAGAAGGTCATGCAGTTTGATTGCTGTCGTTTGGATTGTGTTAAGCTACAGAACAGAATTCAGAGGGAGGAAGGAAGTGCTGGTTTGTAATATATGGCAATTTTGCAAGTTGCATTTCAAATATGTGCATTTTTCCATGCTCTCTGAGTGCTTCCCTTTTCAAGGGTATTGGCATGCTTGTGGCAAAAGCAACCAAAGCAATTGATTAGGCACACAGTGAAAGATGGTATAGGAAAATAAAAGGTAAAGGTCAGTCGTTTCTCTTCTGGAAACCCTTACTCAAAGTCGTGCTGTCACGGTGATAGGTTGGGCACGAAAGGTTGCAGGCTGCTTCCTTGCATGAGAAGGGGTGGCTGTTTGGGATCCAGCAATATCAGCTGTGAAATACACAGGCAGAAAGGCTCTTATATATTATATATACATGTGTAACCCAGAATAAATAGTGCTGTTCTGACTCACAAGTGTATTTCAGCTTGGTTGTTGTTTGTTACGGCTGGGGATGGCTTGCTTTTCAGCCCTTCCGTCCCACCCTTGGACACATCGATGAAGAGCAGCCTGGGAGTCCGAAGCATCAGCAGAATCCTTTTGTACTCCTTTCGGAAATTCTGATTAAGCAGCCCATAGATCACAGCATTGAGGCAGCTGTTAAAATAGGCCATAAAATAGCTTAGGACAAAAAGCCACTCTGGAATGTGTGGCTGCACTTTGGAAGGATTAATTGAAACAGCAAGGCCGATAAAGTTTAATGGTCCCCAGCACACAGCAAAAAGGACAAAAACCACAAACATAGTCAAGAAATTCCGGATGTCGGCAGCTCTGAGCTTCTGCTTACAGTCTTGTCTCACCCGGTGTTTGACCTGAATCACCAAAATCCAGATCCGAAGGTAGCAAAAAGTCACGATGGACAGCGGGACAATGAAGTGGACGACCACCACTGTGATAGTGTACGATGTGCTCACCGTCTGGGCAAAGGTGCAAGAGTAAATCCGGGGGTCGTACTGCAAGGAGCCAACAAAGAAGTTTGGCACAATGGCCACCACTGTGAGCGTCCAGGTCAGGCAGATATAGCAGCAGGTGTTCTTCAGGTTGAAGAGCTTATCATACCGAAGGCTGTGGCAGATGTAGCAGTAGCGGTTGATCGCAATTGCAGTGATGTTGAAAATCGACCCGATGACGCTCAAGCCCATCAGGAACCCACTGATCTGGCAGTGAACGTTTCCCATAGTCCATCCATTATGGAAAATGGCACTCAAGATCAGAGGATATGGATACACTGCCACTACCAAGTCTGCGACAGACAAGCTGACGACAAAGATGTTGCCTAGGAGAAAGGACAAGAGACCATGAAGGTTAGCACAGATCTGACAGGCAGCTTTCAGCTCAGAGCTCCTCTTCAGCCTCACTGCTCGCAGCCTTCACTCCACCAAACATTTGGATTCTGAAACCGGGCAAAATTTCCCCTAATTTCATAAGACTTTGCTCTCCTTGTTAATAGGCCAGCACGGCAGCAGCCACCAGACAGCTACACAGCACTCACTGTCCTGCAGAGAGCTTCATTACTTTAAACACCACATAGAACATATTATCATACAGTGACATTCACAGAATCACAGAATGAATTAGGTTGGAAAGGACCTCTAGAGACCGTCAGGTCCAACCCCAACTCCACATGAAGCTCAGCTCATTATGGGCCTAAGAACTGGAGCAGGCAGATTAAGTTTTCAGCAGTTTGTTCATTATACTGACAGCAGTAGCAGGGAAAGGTTGTTTCTGGTCATTTGCAAATGAAAAGCTAAGTTTTCACCACAACTTTGCAGTGTTCTTACTGAGGAGCATGTGTTCCAGTGCAGTCAGCCTCTATGTGCTTATCTTATCTGGTACTTCTTCCTGTTCCTTTAATATTTAAAGTTGTTCAGAGCAATAGGAAAGGTCAATCACTCCTGCACAGTCTGGGCCTATGCAGGGAATATGATTTATAAGCTTCTGTCAGCCACTTCTGCAGTGTATGTGCTGCAGGTTGCCCACTTACGCTTTAAAACCAGGAGAGTAGAGAATCTGTGCAGACGTGGCATAATTTAACCCTTGCTGGACTGAAACTGGCATACTGCACAGGAAGACATCTGCCAACAGCACTGCATGGAGAGCCAACGGCCTGTGCAACCCGTGACTTCCCACAGTGGTTTCCAAAAGCTGGAAAAAGCTGCAAAGCTTCAAGCACTGCCTGCAGAAGTAAGGGACGCCTTCACACCCCCAAGAGGTTTGGAATTAACTCCTCTGGTTTTGAAAACTGTTCCTAAAACTAAATTAAATCATCTTTCCAAAGGGACCAGAAGCCAGGCTTCTGAAAATCCAAGCTGAGCAGATGCAAACAAGAGCAGAGACCACAAATCACACCATCACCTCTGCAACAGGGCCCTGCAGCTTGCCAAGCCCAGGCACTGCTGAGCAGAGCCAGCACAAAGAAGCCAAGGAGATGCAGAAGCGGCCAAAAGCTGTTCCTCCCCATGGCTGCAGAGGTTACTGCTCGTTTTCTGAGTCTGGTGTATTTTTAGGTAGGGAAAAAGCTTTTCTGTTTATTTTGCCAGTCAGACCAGAGGAGCACATTAAGAAAGGAAGTGTGAGGTCTTTAGAGAACTGGCAGAATGACAGGAGTAGCTGTAAAGCTGGAAGGGATTATCTGCCAAATGCAGCTTTCTGATGACTAGACAAATCACCGTTTCCAGAGGAACTCAACGATGCTGAGAGGACAGCACACCAGGGTAAGCCATTTTCCAAACATCACTACCTGCAGGGTATGTCTGCAGTAGCAGGAAGGAAAACATTACTAGAGTATGGGTGGAGGATATGTTTAACACATATAAGGTGCTAGCACATGCACCTATGTGTTGCTAGCAACACCCCAGCCCACCAATCACACCAGCACCCTCTCTTCAAACCCCCATAGCTTTCTATCTACCAGATTATCTCAACCAAAAAAAAAAAGAAAGATTGAAAAAAAAAACAAAGGGGGCTTTTTTTTCCTGTAGTACATGTGAAGAGGCCCTCTGAGAGCTCAGTTCAGCTGGGTCACTGGCTTTGGTATTTGGAAAGCACACCCAAGGGCTGTTGGAAATCGCAGCTGTGTTGTCAATGCAGTTGGCTCACTGCTATGTTTGTTCCCAACAAAAACCATCAGCACCAGTCAACAGCTCCCATCAGGCAGCAGAGCACACTTCACACCGGCTGGAAAACAGTCCAGACTTGAGAACAGCCCACAGTAGCACAGAGCTGAGACAGCTGACATGAAGCATCATCTTAAAGCAAATATTAGCACAGGTCAGGCAAAGGGCTGAAATCTCAGCAGGAGAGATTTCACATGCACAGCCCTAACACCGCACACCACTTCTGGGGCTGCCCTGCCTGAGCAGTCTGCTTTTTGCTCATTTCATAACCTCACTTTGAGCTTTTTAAAATGCAATCACTGAACCTGATCCCCACATAATTAGCTCTGCTTACTGCCTCAAGACAAGTGCAGAACCACCTGTAACTGGGCTCAGAGCTCATGTAGGCGCCCAGAGAAGGAGCACTACTCTGCAGCAAAACTTACATTCCCGCAGTCACTAACACGTCACCTCAGCAAAAGGCAAAGTGGGTCCTCAGCACCTGAACCTCCTTTCAGAAGTTTTTTCCGGACACTGTGGACTGCAAGCCTTGGCATTTCCTGGAGCTGAAAGGCAGCCATGTGCAACACCCGGCTCTGAACCAGGCAATGCAGAACAAGGCTGGATATCCAACTCCTCTTATGGGAAAGCAAACCTGCCAGGCTCTGCTCTGTGCTCCCTGCACTCCCGGCCCTCCTGCCAGCAGGAAGGCAATTGCCTTGGCACGGTGTCAGCTACCTGAAAATAAAGTCAGAAAGCTTAACTCGGCACTGTTTTGCAGAAAAACACTCATCTTCCCTTTTGTTTGGCAAGATGGTCAATTTCATATTTTTCTCCTGGTAGGTGAGCGTGGAGGTCAGAGCCATACAGCAGCCCCTTGCCGGCCGATCCTGGCAATCAGTACATTTTTAATGACTGAGTACTCCAACGAGGGGGCACACTGCATGCCTCCAAGCACAACAGGCCTTTCAACATGTGAAAATTAGCTGCTTATTATTTAAAAAAATGTGAGCTTCAGCAATGAGTGCAAAGCCATGCAGCTGCTGTGGAAGGTAAACAGGTAATAATCACCTGTTACATTTCACTACTGAATTTTTTATATTTCTCTAACAAAAAGCAAAGGAGTAACACCAGCAAGTAATACCAGCAGGACATTACCTCAAAATTATCTGCTGCTGTAACACTCATTCTTACTGTGTCTTTTTCTCTTTGTAAGCACGCAACTGTAATTCCTCATTGCCTTTCACTCTCCATCATGTTGTTAACTTCTGTGTGGTGTGAATTGGTTTGTGTGTCACTGTGTTCCATCCTGCTACAGTCACACAAGAAGGAGCTCAAGCAGTGTGCATGGCAGCCTGCCCCGCACACAGCAGCAGCACAGAGCTGAGCACATTTCCAGAGAACCTTGGAAGTTTTCCACATGCCATAGGTCCAGCACAAGGCTACGGACTACAGAGGTACAACAAACACAGTTCACAGTGTAATCCACAGGTTACCTGGAACACAGAACAACCTGGAGCCCGGCAGCAGAGCAGGTTATAACCACGTGCAGGTAATGCAGAAGGAGATGATCCCAGAGTGCCTTCTGCCCCACCACTTTGTGAGCTCCACTCCTCACTCCCATGCTCCTACACCCATGCTTCTGCTCACTCCAGCTGCTCCTGTACCCAGCAGCTTCCCGGAATTATCTGACCGCGCAGGTTATCTGAGGACTTACTGTCAGGGCCTGGCACTAGCCTTCATACACATGGAAGCCCTGCAACAAGTTCTGCAAACCAATCAACCACAAAGAAAGGCTTCCAATGGCAGGCTGCCCTATCACCACCCGACTGCCAGACAAACACACATCAGTCTTCTACAGAGATTAACTGAGCATCACTGTGCAAACAGAAGGGTCACAGCCCTGCAGGGAGGAGGGGACCCAGCAGCGGGCCAGATGCAGGTGCATGAGGCTCTCACCAGCAGCCAGAGCAGGTGCTGCACTTCTGCCCAGCTGCAGGCAGTGACTGACAGCTGGAGAGCAGCGGGTGCAAGAGCATTCGTTGAGAAAATGTGCTAAGGTACACAAAGTGTTAGAAGTTTGCTGGTGTTTCTGTTTGTGGTGACACTTCTCTATTTGCAGCTTGCAGTAAGAAGCATCTTCACCTTTATGCTTCTCTTTCCACCTTTTATAACAAGCAGGCTACCCAGGGAGGTGAGGGAGACACAGACACCGGAGGGGTTCACGAACCATGGAGATGTGGCACTGAGGGATGTGGGCAGGGAGCATGGTGGGGTGGGCTGGGGTTGGAGTGGCTGATCTTAATGGTCTTTTCCAATCTGAATGATCCTATGATTCATGTCTAGAAGGAGATAAACTGGAACTGAGACCCACATCATCTTCAGAGGGATATAAATACATATAATAGGGTTTGATAAACAATTTAACAGGCCAGAACTGTAAAGCAGACCTCTGATGGCCACGTAGTTTATTTAGCCTTTGGAAGCTTACCCTCACTGCTCAATGCAAAATGCAAAATGCACCATTTGCCTCAAGCAAGACAGATAAAGTCTTAAAAGCTTTATTCAGCACACAACAAGACTATTAGCTATGACAGCCTCCTTTCTGTGTTTTTTTTCACCTGCCACTTGCTGTGCATTTGCTTGTACTACACCGACCTCCACTCTGCAGACAGAGTGCACGCTGGGTTCTGCACAAAGCAGCAGTTCACAGAAACCCCTTTCAGAACAGCGTTGTTATTTTTACAATACGAAGACGGAAGTGAGTTCTCAGTCATGTTGTCACATGCAGCTGTTTTGGATTTTGGACTGATCGTGATACTGTGGTGCTTGTGGCTTCTGGACCTGCAGCCCTCACTGACGAGCATCTGCAGCATCAGGAGCTGCGAGGGATGACTGCAGGGCACAAAGTAAGTGCCCGCTCAGAGAGCATCAGCTCAGCCTCCTGTGGGGCTTGTGCTCAGTGCTGCTGTTCCACACAAGCTCTGGGCTGCTTGGGGAGCTTGACCTGAGAGCATCACACACATGGCAACAATAAAATCCGGACTGACATTTTGACATGGAAAGTGCTTGACAGGAGAGCCCAAGCGAAAATCTGAGAAACCCTCTCTAACGTCCAGGCAACAGGAAAAAACCTTGCTGCTTAATTCATTAATCCATACATTCTAATTGAGAATTTCAT